AGGAGGGGGAGGAGAAGGAGGGGGAGGAGGAGGGGGAGAGGGAGGGGGAGGGAGAGGAGGAGGAGGAGCTATCAAGAAATTCCTTTTAGATTTTCCAATGTTGTGGAGTACAGGTTTTTGAAGTATGACTTAATGATTCTCTGGATTTCCTTGGTGTCATTATGCCCCTCTTTTCGTTGCTGATTTTGTTAATTTGGATATTCTCACTCTGCTTTTTAGTTAGTTTGCATAAGAGTTTGTCTGTCTTGTTGATTTTCTCAAAGAACCAACTAAGAAGTGAATACATAATAGAAATTAAGCACTAGGGTTGGGGGATTTTCAAAAACTGGTTTGTTGAGTTCTTTGGGCTGGCAAAGACTCCTTCCTGTTGGCTGTGACAGCTGCAGATAGGTCATTCATTCTCTTGGAGGGGGACACTGTGGGTGAGCTGCTGAGGCACAGTGAAGCATCCCGGGGGTCCCAGCTATTCGGGCAGCTGAGGCAGCAGCAATCACTCACTGAAGAGTCTGAGAGTAGCCTGGGCAGCATTGCAAGACTCCGCCTTAAGACACAAAACCAAACCAAAACTTGGCTAGGGCCAGAACCAAAACATAGTAGAACAAAAGGTTATATAGTGCTGGAATAAACAAGGAAGCAGCCCAAACTAATAAAAGAGACGTACAAAAGAGCACGTGGCTGGCTAATGGAAGAGGAAGGCAGCACCCAGCACCCCCAAGTATACCATCAGCCCCCCCTTTTAGCTGGACATATAAAATTATAAGTAAGAGAAAGCTCAGACTCAGCCAGGGGGGTCTGAGAGGTGCCCACCAACACTTCCTCTCCTAGTGTGCACTGGGAACTTTCCTGCTCCATCAAGATGAGGAGGCTGAGTTGGGGGGGGGGGTGGCTCAGTGACAGAACTCAGGCCTAGCATAAGTTCTATCCCCCCCCCCATACACCTAGCCCTCTAAAAAGATGAGGATCCAAGCTTCCTCCCGTTAAGTCTGGGTTGACCTCCTAGCTTTACTCCATAGGACCTGGCAGAAGTGATGCTTTGAGAATTTTTGGCCAGACCCTGAGGCCTTGGCAGCTCTGAGTACTGCTTTTTTGTGTCCCAGCTGCCATGCTGTGAGGGAGCTGGCCCTGCCTTCCGGAGGCGTCGAGCCCACAGAAAGAATGGAATTGCACTAGACCATAGCCAGGACCAGCTCTGGACAGAGGTGCATCCACCTTGGATGCTCTGTACCAGGTCTGAGGACCTCACCCTCAGCACAAAAGATCTTCCTGGTGATTTGCAAGGTTGGAAGAAATCTCAAACAGCCTTAACTTTCTTAGTCATAGCTAACTGACACAAGAACTACTCCTTGTGGTGATATTTTATTTGTGCTGAAATGTGGTGATATTTTATTTCTATGTTAATAAATAAAGTTTGCCTGGAGATCAGAGGAAATAGCAAGCCATTTTAAGTAAACACAAAAGTCAGGCAGTGGTAGCACATGCCCTTAATCAGATCACTTGGCAGGCAGGGTCTCTGTGTGTTCAAAGCCATACTAGAAAAGAGAGCCAAGCGTGGTGACACACGCCTTTAATCCCAATACCAACCATAGAGACCTGGAGGTCTGTACAGACAGGTAGTGACAAGGAAGTGAGGTAGCTGGGCTAAGAGCCAATGAGAGGGCAGAACAGCAAGGCAATAAAAGCCTGGATAGACAGGAAGTCGTGGCATTTTGGGAACTGCAAAGCTAGTGAGGTAAGGTTGGTTGGTGGCTCTCACTGCTTCCCTGATCTCCCAGGCTTTCACCCCTATATTTGGCTTCGTGGGGTTTTTTTTGTTTGTTTGTTTTTTGTTTTTTGTTTTTTTTTTTTCCAAGACAGGGTTTCTCTGTGTAGCTTTGCGCCTTTCCTGGAACTCGCTTTGGAGACCAGGCTGGCTTCGAACTCACAGAGATCCGCCTGCCTCTGCCTCCCGAGTGCTGGGATTAAAGGCGTGTGCCACCACTGCCCGACTCGTGTTTTTTATTTAATAAGACCACTTAGAAATTCGGCTACAACTCCTAAAATGTGAGCCCTCCTTTTTACCAGTTTCTACATGTCATCCCTGCACTGGTTGCATTTCCTCTCTTTGTCCTCATAGCGCTAGAGTGTCAGCTCTCACCTGTCAACTTTGCCCTCCAGGACCCCTGGAGACAAGAGTTAGTTCTCATCCTTCAAGCTGGAACCTGTAGCCAGAACCTTTCCTCCAACTTCAGCCCATATTCAAATGTTAGGTTTTGCTTTTGATGTTTTGAGGCAGGGCCAGCCTCAGATTTGACCTTGAACTTCTAAACCTCCTCCCTACCTGCACTTCTTGGATGTCACAGGTATATGTTACCATACTTTGTTTATGGAGTGTTAGGATCCAAACCTAAGGCTTCAAGCATATTTGGCAAGCATTCTACCAACTGAGTGCATGCCCAGCTCCTACTCAAATGTCTAATCAACTTCTTGAATAGATCACATCCTGAAGACGCTTTCTCAAACACTGGCCTTCCAGATCAGAGAAGGAGAATATATATTCTCACTGTTCAAGTGGCTTATACCCTGCCATCCTAGACTCCTCTCTCATACATGGCAGTAGCAACTTATCAGCAAGCCTCCAGGGATCACCTTCAGAATAACACCCCTCACCCTCCCTCATCCTCCCACTGATCCACCATGTGAACCACACTCAACCTTCTTTTAATTATCATTCAATGGGCTTTTAATTCCATTACTCCTTCCCTCCAGTGGCCTGATCAGCCAATGCAGTTTCTTTAAAACAAAGGTTAAGGGCTGTAGCTGTTGTTCATGTGCAAGGCCCTGGGTTCCATCCCCAGCATGGGGTTGGGGTGGTGGGAGAAAGAAAGAAAAGAAAAATAGGACAGAAAAAGAAAACAAAGGTCAGATGAGGTCTGTCTGCACTCAGAAGAAGCCAGCGTCTCCTCCACTCCACTCCTCCCCATTACCCTAACTCACAACATCATGGTCATCTTCAGGGAAGTCTGAGACATTCAGAATGCTAGGCCCCTTCGCAGGCTTTGTACTTCACAACCTGTATGTTATCACATCCCCAGAAGACATATATGTACCGTCGAGTATGAAAAATGCCATCAGCACTCGGGAGGCCAAGGCAGGCCTGGTCTACAGAGTGAGATCCAGGAAAGGTTCAAAGCTACACAGAGAAACCCTGTCTTGAAAAACCAAAAAAAGAAAAAGAAAAAGGCCATGTTGACTAGGTACAGAGGTTTATGCTTAAAGTTCCAACTACTTGGGAATCTGAGGCAGGAGGATCTCTTGCCAGGTGGACAGCACAGCAAGACCTGGTCTCCAAAAGGAAGAGAAGAGAAAGAGGAAAGGGAACGGGTCTAAGAAGGGGAAGGGGTGTAGCTGATGCAGCCTCATCTCCCCCAGGATGTGTTTTCTCTACCCTCATTTTCTCAGGCTGCAGCCACACTGGCCTTCTGTCCTCCAAGCAGCAGGCACACTCCTGCCTCGGGACCTTTCCACACACTATTTGTCCTGCCAGGATCACTTTGTCCTAGAAATCCACGTAGAAAGCTGGGCAGTGGTGGCGCATGCCTTTAATCCCAGCACTCAGGAGGCAGAGCCAGGCTGATCTCTGTGAGTTCGAGGCCAGCCTGGGCTACCAAGTGAGTTCCAGAAAAAGGCACAAAGCTACACAGAAAAACCCTGTCTTGAAAGACCAAAAAAAAAAAAAAAAAAAAAGCAAACAAATAAACAAAAAAGAAATCCACGTAGACTACCCCTCCACTTCCTTCAGACCTCTTCGAACTCCCTTTATCTGCAGGTCTTTTCTGTCAACTACATGGATTCATCACCTCAACACTCACACCCGTGTCCACCCTCTGACCTCACTGTCCTCTGTAGCACATGTATATAAGCTTTTTGCATG